CAAGTTCCTGGTATCTCCAGCGAAGTATAAAAGACTTATTTTGAAAATTAATGTGGCATGAGTCTAACATCTCTGAAGATAAAAGAAACATCAGAAAGGCCACCAATTAACCACCTACGGAAACCATCAAAGAACAATGTAGAGTAACAATGAAGTTCAGAGTTTAGCACAGCAGTATACAATCAAGAGTAAAGCAATACTTGTGGCCTTTGTTTTCATTTGTTTCTAATTACAGTTGACCCTTGAGCAATATGGGTTTGAACTGCATGGGTCCACTCATACCCAGATTTTTTTTAATAGATAAATTGGAGCAATTTTTGGACATCTGCGACAGTTTGAAAAAACTCACAAACCACACAGCCTAGAAATACTGAATAACTTAAAAAGTTAGCTGTGTCATGAATACATAAATTAAAGCTCTATTTTATCATTTACTACCAAAAATCTGTTATAAAAATTTTAAATTTATCAAAACTTAGGCACTTACAGACCATACATGGCAACATTCCCAGTTAAGAGAAATGTAAACAAAGTGCAGCTGCAGTGTTGTCATAAGTGCACAGAATTAACTGTAGCACATACCAGTACCACTGTGATCATGTGCAGCACCACCTGCTGCTATTACAGTGAGCTCAAGTGTTCCAAGTATCCACTTAAAATACCATGTGAGACTCATCATCTCCGTAACAGTTCATCTGAGTGAACTGCACGTCAAAGTGAAAAGTGATTTCTCATGGTTCTCACATATTTCTCATTATGTTTAGTGCAGTACTGTAAACTCTGAGTAACAAAACAGAACCCATACAAAGTGCCATTGATGATACTGGATGTGTTCCCAAGCAGAGAAAAGTCATGACGTCATAGCAAAAAGTTCAGTTGCTTGATATGTACTGTAAATTGAGATCTGCAACTGCAGTTGCCTACTATTTCAAGATAAATAAATCCAGTGTAAGGACCACCGTAAAAAAAAAATTTGCCATCACTGCAGTGACACCAGGTGTGAAATCCTTGTACTTTGTTTTTGCAAATATCTTTTTACCCTGGATTGAAAATGTAGCTTTTATGTGGATGCAGGATTGCTATGAGGCATACCTATAGACTCTAATATGATTAGAGGAAAAGGGAAGGCATTATATGACAAGCTAAGAACAAGGTGAAGGATCTAAAACTGGATAACTCAATGCCATCAAAGGATGGTTTGATAATTTTAGAAAGAGGCTTGGCTTTAAAAACATCAAAGTAACAGGAGAAACAGCTTCTGCTTATCAGGAGGCAGCAGATGCCATTAAGAAAGTCATTGAGAACAGGTATCTGCCTGAACACATTTTTAATGTACACAAAATGCTCTGGGAAAAAAATGCCACAAGACATTTATTAGTAAGGATGAAAAGCAAGAACCAAGATTTAAAATAGGAAGGGATACACTAGCTCTGTTTTTGTGCAAACAAAACAGTTTTCTGACCAGGATTGTCCTTATCTATAAAGTTGCTAACCCCCACGCCTGGAAGGGAAAAGATAAACACTGGCTACAAGTCTTTTGGTTGTACAACAAGAAGGCCTGGACAATGAGAACACTTTTTCCATATTAGTTCCACTGATGCCATCGATGCTGAAGTCAGGAAGTAGCTTACCAGTAACAGACTGCCTTTTAAAGGTCTTCTGATATTGTACAATACCCCTGGCCACCCAGAACCCCACGGATTCAACACCAAAGGCGTCAAAGTGGTCTACTTGCCCCCAAACACAATGTCTCTCAATCAGGCTCTAGATCAGGGCGTCATAAGGGCCTTGAAGGCTCATTACACATGGTACTCTATAGACAGGACTGTCAATGCTACAGAAGACAACCCCAACAGAGAGAACATAATGAAGGTCTGGGAGGATTACACTATTGAACATGTCACTGTTAATAGAAAATGAATGAAAGCCACCAAGCCTGAAACAACAAATTCCTGCTGGAGGAAACTGTGTCCAGTTGCAAATGACTTCACAGGATTTATGCCAAAGACAATCAAGGAAATCATGAGAGATTATGGACATAGCAAAAAAGGTGGGGGGCGAATGAAGGGTTTCACGATACGATCTTGGAGAAATTTAACGGCAAATGGACAACAGACCAGAAGAATTCACACAAGACAATGTGATGGAGATGAGTGCTTCTGAACCAGTACCAGACAGTAAGGAAGAATATGTAGGAGAAGCTATGCCACAAAGCAAACTGACATTAGACAATCTGGCAAAAGGGTTGATTATTCATGATTGCTTTTTACTTCTTTTATGATCTGGACCCTGTGTGATATGGACATTTAAAGTAAAGCAAATGATGGGAAAATGACTGGCACTATATAGAATCATTTTTAGAGAAATAAAAAAGTAAAGTCAGACAGAAATTACAATGTACCATAGTACTGAGTACACCTACCTCTCCTGCCTCTCATCCACCTCCTCCACCTACCCCCTTCACCAACACCGCAAGACCAACCCCCTACTCTTCCTCCTCAGCCTCATTAGTATGAAGAAGATGAAGACCTTTATGATGCTCCATTTCCACTAAATAATCACCATGCCATAGAGTTAATAAACGTATCTGCTGTGTATGTGTGTCATGGGAAAATCTAAGTAACTACACATGAAGAACTCAGAGATATTTTTGTGTTATCCTCTTCATCATCATCTATTTATGTAGAACACAGTGTGCAAGACTTGCATGGAAGCAGATAGCATATCCTTACATAAGCATAAAGTGAGTGATATTTAATATAAAATAATTATGTCAGTTTCTTGTTTTACAACTTTGCATCCAAAGCATTACATTACCATACAATTATACCTGTCTCATAAGTGGAGAAACTGCCTATCAGCCTATCATCACAGGTGTTTTTTTTAATGTAACATTTCCAATACTGTATTATGAATATGACCAATATTATATGCCAAAAACATGTTAAAACAATTCATTCATTAGTGTATAGTCATGAAACAATCATACTGGTGCTTCATCATCAATGCATGAATCATTATATCTGTAAATAAATGTTTCATGTTATCTTTTCACTTTTGATGTCTAGTGTAATGCATAACATCTAGTGTTTTATATCACATAGGACAATAGTAACCTAGGTACTGATAAATGACTCGTATCTTGTAAACAGATGATGTAAACTTACAGTATTGATACAGCACAGTACAAGTATTTTTGTATGATTTTCTTAACATTTTATTTTCTCTAGTTTATTGTAAAAAGATACTATATATATAATACATATATGTAAAATGTGTGTTAATTGACTGCTATCAGTAAGTCTTTTGGTTAACAGTAGGCTATTAGTGAAGTTTTTGGGGAGTCAGAAGTTACACATGGATTTTTTATTGTGGGGGAGGGGGACTGGCACTCCTAACCCCCACATTGTTCATGGGTCAACTTATTTTTGTTTTTAGGCAGGACCACAATGGGAATTAAGTAAGATTTCAAAGCTTCCTCGTTATGAAATCAGGTGCAGGCTAGGAAACTGATCTCAAGAAAAAGATTAAGAAAACATGATTAGACAGAAAAACTCTACGGGCATATTCAGGTGAATCCCTCGAATTGGAATATAGATTGTGATAGGGAACTTTGACCTGAACTTGAAAAACATGCAAGGGGTTCAAACATTTACTGAATGCTTAAAATATTCCAATCACTGTTCTAAATACCTTGCATGCATTAACTCATTTAATCCTCATAACAATTCCATGAAGTTAAGTATCATTGCCTGTACCTCTGGATGGAGACCTAAAGCATACGAACTTTAACTTGCCCAAAGTCAATAGCTAACAGCTGAAAAAGTTGGCGTTCAAACCTAGACAAGTTGGCTTCAGAATGCACTGACTGCCACAATGCACTTACTGCCTTACATACAGAAGACCCTGTGCCTATGATGGGCAAGAGAACTAAAAGAAACAGTCAAACTTTGACTAAAGGGTACAAATAGATACCAACAACAAAGATCCAACTTAAAGAGGATCTGCATTCAGAAGAGTAGTTAAATGTTCTGTGGTTTTACTCTAATGGACCCAATGTGGGAGAGTGAAAAGGTATTCAGACGAAGTCCATGAATTCCAAGGACATGCTCTTCCGAGGCAAGATTCCCCAAAGTTTCTTGAGTGCTGTCAGCAGTTAGCCCTGTGTAAATGAAATGGCTGGAAGGCTTTTTGTGGGGGTTGACCAGAATGCCCATTGATTGCATGGCCGGTAGGTAAATCCAAATCAAACCAAAGTTTAGGATTAGAGGGAATGTCCAGAATGCAATGATATCACTTTAGAAATCCTTAGTCATTTGCTCAGTTTTCCATGTTCTAATATGGAAATAGTAGTTTTCAAAACTTACTGTATGTTTTCGGGCAAAATAGTCTCCTTGGCCTCAGTTTTCTTGACTATTAAATGGACATAATATCTCTCAAGACTGTGCAAGGATTATATGCAATATGTAAGAAACGTAGCAAAGGTAACACACTAGTCAACATATGTTAATTGATCCCTTTGCCTGGGCATTTCCAAGAGTCCCAAACAACCTTAAGTCTACAAAAAGAATGTAAGAATAAAATTTTTACAAGGTTTAAAGATAACATAAAAAGCTCTGAGTGAAAATATAATGTTAAATAAATTGAATAATAAAGCTTATTAGGTCAATTTGCTAAAACTCAGTGGTAATGGAGTCAAAGTTCAATGCTCTCAGTGTGGCCATTTTGTTCTCACAGGTGTGTTATTTTTTCATTTTGCAGAATCATCCTTTGTTCAAAAAAGAGCTAAATAATAAACAAGTGCTACAAACAAGGCCCAGAGGTTTTATAGCTTAGGAGCAGAACTAAGGCGAGAACTCCTCTTGAGTACTAGACTCAGTAAATACAAATTCTCTCCACGCAAAACTGAAAGTCCAAAACCTTAGTAAGAATAAAATGTTTCCACAAACTATCCAAAGTCTTTAAGTACTACAAGAAGCTAGAAAGAATTTCAAATGAGGTTGTGAGAAATTTGCTTCATGTTTAATACCTTTCTCCTTGTAAACAACAAGCCAGCACACCTCTACAAATACAGAATGAAAGCTCTGATACAATATTCACAGATTCAAAAAATGAACAAAGTTCAAACGTAACATTTTTCTCTGGCAAAATTAGTAAATAAATTGGCAACCTTGTCAGATAATCATTTCAATCTAGCATTTTACTTAGTAGAAAGATATTTGTAGAAAATCTGTAAATAGTATGCTTCTCCCAAAATGCTATGTGAAAGATGCCATACACAAGAAATTACATACTCTATGATTCCATTTATATGAAATTCTAAAAAAGCAAAAGTAGTGATAGAAAACAAACTATTGTTTGCCAAGGGCCAGGGTGGAAGGAGAGGACTGACAGCAAATGGATACAAGTTTCACAAGTGAAATAAATGCTCTGTATCAAAATTATGGTGGTGGATCGACAATTGAATATATGTTTTCAAAACTCACTGAACTCTATATTGAAAACTAGAGTTTCATTATGTGATAATGGTACCTTAAAATTTTTAAAAGGATTATACATAATAAATCAACATGTTTCTCAAAAAAAATTTCATTAAAATTTTTTACATAAACAATTTGTAGAAAATCTGCAAATAATACTGTTCTCACAATTATAAGCAGTGTTTACTTCTGACATTTTTATAAGAAACATTTGTTCAATGTTCTTCTTTTAAACAAGCAAAACTAAGAAGTACTTGAAAGTCACCTTGAACGCAACTTAAAATCCTCCAAAAATGTTTCGTACACTCAGTACAAAAGGACACAGTACTTGTCAGGTCTTTGAATACTTTTTCCAGAATGTAACAGCAAACCATAGGTTGTAAATCTGGGTTGTAGGCAATCTAAATGAGTGGCACAGACAAGTGGTACTGTGGCAAATTGAGCACATGGCCCCAAGTGAGCTGCGATCCCTGGGTCCTGTGGGTTGATGCCAGGGAAGAACACAGGCTGCAATGCAGCCAGAGCTTCTGATTTTTAAAGAGAAGGAGAAATAAGGACGTTTAGGAGAAATTTCCTGATTTTTTAGAACGATGGTTCAAATTTTTTTTTACAACACTGTATGGGCCAAACAACACGTCCCATAGGCAGAATTATGACCTCTGGTCCACAGTGCATGCTTTCTGAACTTTTTCAGTGACCAAGTATTGCCATCTTTCTAACTGCTTACCTCTTTATTTGTATTAAGTCTAAAATAATGTGGAATACTAGAACAACTAAAGTAAAATTATCTCAAAATTATATGAAGACTAGTCACTTCTGTTCATTTTGCTGAAAAACCAAGTCCTGTTTACATTTCTAAGCATACTGGCTGGTAATAAAAGGAAAAATCAATTAGAACAAAGGAAGACGAGGTGAAGAAAAATCACAGCTTTAAGACTGTAGTCAGCTTCTAGAATCCACAGAAATAAAATAATCCATGTGTTGAAATTTGAGAACTTCATTGCCCCAACTAGTCCAACCTGGCTGTAAATTTCGAGCAAATAATTCCAAACATTCCCCATCTGGCTTGATATAGTCTTTAAGAACCTCTGTTCAAAAAAGAGAAAAAAACAAAAAAATTATTAAGAAAGGAATCAATTTCCTCTTAGCAGTTCAGAGCAGAAAAGCAGGGGTATTACCTTTAAAAAAAAAAGACAGCTAATTAATTTCAAGGATTTCATCAAAGGCATTACTATTTATAGTTAGAAAGTCATTTGAAATAAGCACTCTTGAAATTGAGAACAATACCATCAGAACTTAGTAGTCCTGATTTATCAGTTTTCATTTATAGATGAGAAATGAGGATTTTAACACCCACACAGGTGACTTCAGTTTTCCAATACTGCTTATGTGTCTCCTGAGTCTAACTTGATTCAATTTTCAATAAATGTAATCCATGCATGAAAAAGAAGTCCACAGGAACAAAGACAACCCACTTAAAAGACTAAGATAAAATATTAGTCTCTGCAAACATATACTTTAATCAAAGGCAGTAAATGAAGAGTTAGATACAAATAGAAATATTCAAAATATCTAAGAAATAACCATACCACCTTACTATAACTTGGTAGTACTAAAAACATTCCTCCACTTCCAAATTATAGATTCTTCTTTACCTAAAATTTCACCATATTACTTTTAGTTAAGTATTCCTTATTCATGTATTAATAATCATTGAAAAATCACATTTTGTTGGGGAAAAGGTACCTAATATATATGTGACCTACAATAACAAAAAGAATACCACATAGAAGCTTTTTTTAGAGCACATGCTCATTTGTATGACAAATATTTAAATCAATTTAACCTTAATCATATTGCTGGCTAGCTATATTAACCTATAGGAACTGAGTATAAAAATAACAATTCAGGGATGAAAGGTCACTAGAACAGGCAAAATAGAGTTCTTAATTGCTATACAACATTGAGCCTGGAAGAAATCTACCAAATTCCCTTTAGGAATGATAAGGGTTTCATAGAAATACTTGATATAGGGAAGGTTCAAAAGACAGTATGTGAAAAATTCTGTTTCATAATGTTCAAATGCTCTCATTGCAAAATAATTATTTGTCAAAAGCCCTGGGCCTGTTTATCAAAAAAAAATTGATGAAAAGTATTGTCTATAACTCAACTGAACTCAAATTTGGGCTTTGATAGCTTCTAAGAGATGCTGACATGAAACTTCCAGTCCTTTCTTAAGTATACAATCAAATACTACTAAACTTGAAAGAGAAAGATTTCCCCAGAGTATTAGAGGACAATAAACCTATATCACTTTTCCATTTTTCCCCATGAATTCAATGCCTCACCAGCTTTAATTCACTTTTAATGTGGTCTAAGGTTATACTGAAGCAAGGTTTTGTTTGTTTGTTCCATTTTTTTGGTACAAAGATGTTAGCAAATCTATTTTGGAACTTCAAACTGGAGTCTAAACTGGAGTAAATCAGGCAAAATGTTTACTATTATGAGTACCCACTGCAATCAGTGTCTGGGACCTAACAAAGGAAACAGATTCCATGTTTTCTAAGAGTTCACAATCTAACAGAGACAGTCAGGCACTTGAAGTGGCAAAACATAAAACTAAACCCATTTACCACTTCCCTCTTTCTCAATGTAACACAGTTCTGCACGGCTTTTTTTCTTTCCAGTGGAGAAAAAAGAAAATGGAGTAATGCTTTTATAATGATAACCACATGTTTAATTTTAAAACAAGGAAAAATAAAAGCAAATTAAGGAAATGCCTTATTCTTACTAATTTTAAATATCAATTTAAAAATAAATGTAAGATCTTAAAAGTTCTTATCACAAGAAAAAACAATTTTGTAGCTTTGGTAATGGATGTTAACTAGACTTGCTGTGTTGATCAGTGACCATTTCTCAATATATACGTAAATGGAATCATGATTTATATACCTGAAACTAATATATGTCAACTATATCTTCATTTAAAAAAATAAATTCAAATATGTAAGTTTAAATATGAACATGATATATGTATACTTTCGTAAATATGTAACATCTGGCATTACTAAAACATACTTCTAATCCATGAAGAAATAATCTGTGCATAGCCAGTCATCCCACTTTTGCTCAAGGAATAAGGGGCAGGGCTTGAGGAGAAGTGGCTCAAACATCAGTGGATGGAATCTCATCAGACTATGTTTTGCTCTTCAACAGAAGATATTAGTGAGTGAAAAAGTAAAAAGAAGTGTAAACTCCTCTAAGGTAAAATATGAAAAATAAAATTTTGACTCAAATACTTTCATTTCACAAATTTCCTACCTTAAATTAGACATAAGAATGTAATTTATGTTAGGTAGTAAGCCAAAGCTATTCATGCTTATCTTTTAATTTATAGGAGGAAACTTCAAAACTTAATTTAGAGTAAATGTATCATTTTGAAATATAATATGCTGCCAATCTGGTCTTTTTTTCTCTTTTTTTATATTTTGCAGCAGAAGTAACAAAACTTTCTAAATACATGTTTCTATAAGCAAGAGAACAATTCATTTTATGAATTTGCATAAAGCAGTTTAAGAACATTTACATGTAAAAGTTCTAAGCATTACATTATATATATACAATGTGTATTATCCCAAATCCCAGAGTTATGATTCCAGATAAAATATATTATAAAAATATGGAAGTTCATTTCTGGTGGCTTTAACTTATATAGCTTTATACCTAAAGTACATGTACTTGCTATATAGTAACATGAACTCAAAAATAAATGATGACAAATACTTCTTGTCTACCACTCACTACTTAAATTAAAACATAAAGATTATATATATCAAGTCATACAGACTTCTTTCTCCCCAAATCTAATTTTTCTTTTTAAATGTTCTCAATCCTAAAAGTGTGGTCACGCTGCTCTCTACTGGAAATGTGACAGAATTGCATTTCATTGATACAGGCTATAAATGGTAATTTTTATTAGTATTAATAAAAGACTAATTTTTATTCACTATTTTAAAACCTTGACTCTTAAAACTAAACTTTAAACACAATTTTACTCTACTTAAAATGAATTGATAAGTAGTTTATCATTTGAGAATGAGACCTGGGTCTTAGCTTTTGGATTTTTAAAAGAAAATTAAAACCCTAAGGCAAACACTAGATTAAAGCTTTGGTACTCACCAAATGATAAACAAAATTCAAATGAGAAGAACATAAATCAGACTTCCTCCACTGAGAATAACTGGTACCAAACATAATTTTTTTCTCTAAGAACAGCAGAATCTCACTTTTCATTTAAGTCATATATTTAATGCATTAAAGAGTCTATGAAGTCCAAAGTTTAAAGGCAATTATTCACTAAGAATCCTTCTCAAGGAATGAATCATTGGTAGACAACTGAATATTTCTCAATGAAGTAATAAAGACTCACCTTCATAAGCAATTTAAAATGACAAAAATCATAAGTACTACCAATAAAAATTACCTTGGGAATTTGTATTCTTTCCTATACTTTCTAGCTCATGCACTATCCCATAGTCTACAAATTAACATGATAGGCTGGCAGCCTGTATTTTCCCAAGTGACAGCTTGAAAATTTCAATTTTTTAAACAGGGATCACCAAACTAATAGAACATATGTTCTTGAAGAAATTTTTGAATAGTAGACTTCGAGTATCAAATTCAGTATCTCTCCAGGACTTAACATCCATATTTTTTTTAACTCACTTGAAAATTTAGCATTTACTAAGCTTCTGTATGCTAAAGAGTTTCAGATATATTATAACCAACCCTCACAACTCTAAAAGATTAAGTATCATTATTCCCTTTTTAAATGAGGACCTTTGAGGTGGAAAATAATTAGTGACTCACTTAAATAGCAGAGTCAGGATTCAAATTCACATTAGTCAATCTCCAAAGCCCAAAATTTCCACAATTCCTTGCTTCCTACTTTCACTGAATGATGAACATTACACTAAAGCATTAAGACTAGTAAGAACTACAGGCTGTAGCAACTACCTTTCCAGTAGTTGAGAAAAGCAACACTACCTCAACATAAAACTGGGAGTCTCTACTGAATATCAATGGGATTCTAATCATCTTTCTGCCTGCTATTCTAAGCTCCTGGTTTTGGAACAAACAATGAGTAGAGCCCTGCAAGTAAAATAAAGCCCCTAGCTAAACTACAGTCCTTAGACACCTCATCAGTCTTCAGTCTGTCAAGGCCAGTGACAGGGCAACAACTGACAGTAAGGGGAACCTAAAAAAATGGCGTAAGAGGGAAGGCTGAGGTGATATAACAGTAATCTATGCAGTGTGCTGGCAGTCCTGCAGATCTGTCTCTTTCTTCAATGGTGTTTGAATGGAACAGACCCGGGTACTCCTCTTCTTCCAGCTTCTGACCATCCTCCAACCTACCTCTGCCACCAGCCAATACCATTTTTCATGGTTAGCTCCATAGTGCCAACAAACCATGAGCTCCCAAATTCATCAGAATTATTCTAGTGAAGTGGAGGTCACCATCAACCACCTGGTCAACCTGCATCTGCAGGCCTCCTTATACATACCTACTCTGGGCTTCTATTTCAACTTTGAAAATGTGGCTTTGGAAGGCATGGGCCACTTCTGAGAGTTGGCTAAGCATCTCTTGAAAATGCAAAATCAGCCCTCTCCCAGGATGTGAGGAAGCCCTTCCAAGATGGGTGGGGTAAAGCCCTAGAGGTCACAGATGTTACTATAGCCCTGGAAAAGAGCCTGAACCGGGCAGGCCCTTTTGGATCTGCAAGCACTGGGTTCTGTCCATATAGATTCCCATCTCTGGATTCCTGGATAGCCACTTCCTATATGAGGACTAACCTCTCTGTAGGCTGACCAGCCCCAGGCAAGTATCTCTTCAAAAGGCTCATCTCCAAGCACAAATAAATAGCCTTTGAGGGGGGCCCTCTGCATCCCTATGGTTCAGAGTTTCTGCCTAAGCCTCTCCTGGCCATGATTAAGTATCTTTTTAACCACTTTGGAGCCCTCTCTCAAGCTGTGGACCAAATAGAAACAAATCATTTTGCAGGGGAAAAAAAAATCATAAATTCTGCTATATAATTTCAAGTTAAAAGAACACACAATAACATTGATTTGATTTCCAAATCACTAGACTATTCAATGCTAAATTCAACCTTTCTCAATTTCACAGAAGTCACAGCAATTCTATTTTATAAAAACATACCAGCAAGAGATGGCTTGTGTGAGTGAAGAGTACACGGCACACTGACAATTAACTTGTGATCTGGAATGGGGAGCACTTTTACATCTGTATTCCTAATTAAGGTAGAACGACAAAGTAAATTTTATTTTAAATGACAATTTTTTTACATATAAGCCATAGTTGCCCTAATTTTTTTCACCTTTCAAATTAAGGGAAAGAAAATTGTAAAATTAAGAATAGAATCAATAATAGAAGTCAACAACTTAAGTATTGAGACATTTCCAAAAATTTCTTTTTCTATAATAATGACATTACACAATAGGTAAAACAAAAGATGATATAAAATTTCATGAGGCATACCATTCACACTTTTCTGGTTTGGGCAATTTTCGAGTTTCAAAAATATAAATGTTAAGGAAAATAAATGACCATTGTATTATTATTAAAAGCCTAAAACTTATTACATTCATACAATTTTGAAAAACCACTTCTCCTACCTTATTGGGAAAGCAGCTTTTTCTTGAACTCTCCCCAGTATAAGACCTTCATAAGGCTTTTTGTGTGGAGAATCCAATGGGAACACAAACTCTCCTGAATTGGTGATCTTATAGGAGTCAAAAAACAACAAAAAACCCCCACACGTTTGTAAATATCCAAGAAACAATTTTTTTCCCTATCAGTATATAATTTCTACCAAAGAAAAAGAAATTACTAAACCTCTAGGCTAGTGCTATCCAACAAAAATATAATATGAGCCACGAACGTAATTTAAATTTTCTAGTAGCAACATTAAAAAAGGAGGAAGACCACAGTGAAAGATTTTAACTACACATTTAATCTAACAACCAAAATGTCATCATTTCACTGTGTAATCAACTCAAGAAAGTTATTGATATACATCACATTCTTTCATTCATCCAGTTCTTTGAAATCAAATGTATATTTTATAGGTCACAGATGTTACTATAGCCCTGGAAAAGAGCCTGAACCGGGCAGGCCCTTTTGGATCTGCAAGCACTGGGTTCTGTCCATATAGATTCCCATCTCTGGATTCCTGGATAGCCACTTCCTATATGAGGACTAACCTCTCTGTAGGCTGACCAGCCCCAGGCAAGTATCTCTTCAAAAGGCTCATCTCCAAGCACAAATAAATAGCCTTTGAGGGGGGCCCTCTGCATCCCTATGGTTCAGAGTTTCTGCCTAAGCCTCTCCTGGCCATGATTAAGTATCTTTTTAACCACTTTGGAGCCCTCTCTCAAGCTGTGGACCAAATAGAAACAAATCATTTTGCAGGGGAAAAAAAAAATCATAAATTCTGCTATATAATTTCAAGTTAAAAGAACACACAATAACATTGATTTGATTTCCAAATCACTAGACTATTCAATGCTAAATTCAACCTTTCTCAATTTCACAGAAGTCACAGCAATTCTATTTTATAAAAACATACCAGCAAGAGATGGCTTGTGTGAGTGAAGAGTACACGGCACACTGACAATTAACTTGTGATCTGGAATGGGGAGCACTTTTACATCTGTATTCCTAATTAAGGTAGAACGACAAAGTAAATTTTATTTTAAATGACAATTTTTTTACATATAAGCCATAGTTGCCCTAATTTTTTTCACCTTTCAAATTAAGGGAAAGAAAATTGTAAAATTAAGAATAGAATCAATAATAGAAGTCAACAACTTAAGTATTGAGACATTTCCAAAAATTTCTTTTTCTATAATAATGACATTACACAATAGGTAAAACAAAAGATGATATAAAATTTCATGAGGCATACCATTCACACTTTTCTGGTTTGGGCAATTTTCGAGTTTCAAAAATATAAATGTTAAGGAAAATAAATGACCATTGTATTATTATTAAAAGCCTAAAACTTATTACATTCATACAATTTTGAAAAACCACTTCTCCTACCTTATTGGGAAAGCAGCTTTTTCTTGAACTCTCCCCAGTATAAGACCTTCATAAGGCTTTTTGTGTGGAGAATCCAATGGGAACACAAACTCTCCTGAATTGGTGATCTTATAGGAGTCAAAAAACAACAAAAAACCCCCACACGTTTGTAAATATCCAAGAAACAATTTTTTTCCCTATCAGTATATAATTTCTACCAAAGAAAAAGAAATTACTAAACCTCTAGGCTAGTGCTATCCAACAAAAATATAATATGAGCCACGAACGTAATTTAAATTTTCTAGTAGCAACATTAAAAAAGGAGGAAGACCACAGTGAAAGATTTTAACTACACATTTAATCTAACAACCAAAATGTCATCATTTCACTGTGTAATCAACTCAAGAAAGTTATTGATATACATCACATTCTTTCATTCATCCAGTTCTTTGAAATCAAATGTATATTTTATACAATACCACATTTCAATTTTAAATAGCCACATTTCAAATGCTCAAGAACCGCATATGGCTAGTGACTACACTGGACAGAGCAACTGTATCAGACTAAAAAACACCACTTCATCATCTTGCACACAAAAAACTCTACTTTTCATGAAAATTCATTTCTAGAAACTGTGCCATCAATTCATTTATTCATTCATTCAAAAAACGCTTACTGATTATTGGCAGCATGACTAAGTAGATCATAATAAAGTATTTTTCTATACTTATAAAAAACAGTGCCATTAAATACAGTCAGAGCTAAAACTAATAATGAAAGAAGTTGGGGATCAATAAGATAAATACTTGGTCCAATTTCTTGATATTAGAAATCCAGAAGTCAATTCATTTTACCCTGGAGTGATCAGACTCTCAAAGACTCATTTCAGCTAACCAAACTCAAAATGCAATTTATAGTAACATCTCAATTCATTAACCACGGAGATGTATGTTTTCATTATCAGAATATTTATGTCTTATATGTATGGACTCTTTTACCCTATTCTGAGGAACCTAAAAAGTCAAGCCAATAAAGTCCTTTTGTTACCTCTAGGGCACATGAGAGACAGCATCTCTGGAAAATTCTTATTCTTTGGATATCCTTTATCCAGAGTGAAGATTTCTCCTTCTGTTATAACAATATGTATAATTACCTAATAGTGTTTTATATAATCTACTGTATTTTGTTTTAAACTCTGGTCTTATTATCATGCCATCTCTTAGAACTGAGTACTACTATAAATAGTCAGTTTTTAAGTATTAACATTTCCCAGGTTTTGATTTCTGAAGGTAATATTTTCCTGACTTTGGGCCCAGTCTCTGACTATGTAAGAACTGTCAAATGGACAGGGCAGAATGGGGTTTTATATTCCTCTCATGGTCCTATACCAAAGCAACCAAAGCTAAGCCCAAAGTATGTTGTGAAAGCAAAGATAGAACTGCAAATATTTGTTTGTCCAGTGTCAATAAACAACACACATGGCTACTAGAGGATATTTCAGCAGACTACAAAGTACCCATAAAGCACATAAAAATAGAACTCTCCTGTATATAAAATGAATATACAGCTGTATAAATACTAAACATTCAGTTGACAATGACTTGGCTTATCTTTTTGAAATGTAGGAGGGCTTTTGTGGAATTCATCTAAATAGGCAATGCTTCTTTAAAAGGATGTCCAGTGAATTCTGAACTGATGCCTGTTTTCCATATTTTTTGGTATTCTTAGAGCAGAGATGTTAGAGATCATTCAACCAATCCAAAAGTGGAATCCTTTCTTTCAGAATAAGCACAGGAGCATGTAAGATACTGAGGACCAAGGTTAAGATTGAAAGCATGAAAAGTTTTTGGTTCTAGCATCCTTCCCACCTCTTCCACACTGGGTTAGTTTGCTATTCTCCCTTCCATCCCCAACAACATAAGGAAAAAAGAAAAGAAGTCACAAAGGGTAACTAAAATTGTGGATATGTAGAGAGGAAGAAGATGAAGGGTAAGACATTTCACGTGTAGTGATGGTCAGATTATCCCAAGTTTTTGTTTTTGTTTTTTTAAACTACAGAATCAGAGCTTTTTAAACTGTCATTCTGTTATCTCACTGAGTGATTTCCTAAGGCTAGCAGTTTAGGACTCTACTAGAAAGAACAAACAAAAATAGGGAACAAACAGGTAAAAAGTCTTGCGATTAAGTTTTTTTTAAAAAGTAGAAGTTTCAATTAGAGCATGTTGAAAGAATAGAGCAGTGACATGTTAAGCATTTAAAAACAGATGCTACTGTCTTACTATGCTGATGGACAGTGACTGCAATGGGGTATGTGGGGGGGACTTGATAATAGGGGGAGTCTAGTAACCATAATGTTGTTCAAGTAATTGTAATTGTACATTAATGATATCAAAATTAAAAATAAATTTAAAATAAATTTAAAAAAGAAATGCTACTGTTATGTAACTTACATGTCTTGCTATATTAATAAAAAGTTAACTTCTGAACTTACTTTTACCCAGTGCCATTCAGCAACTACGTCCACAGACCAAGAAGGATAAAGCTCTTCCTTTATAAAACGTAGGTGCTTCTGTCTATTAGTCACCCAAGTAATAACAAGACAGTTTGGAGCAGCCAGTTTAGAGATAGGTATTTGCTTTATTTGCAGAGGTGATAAGTAACTATACCTAAAAATAAGCAGGAAAAAACGTTAGCAGATTTCACTGCAAAAAAAAAAAAAAATAAGCAGGGAAAAGACATTGACTCCAGTAATACAAAGCTCCAATAGCTATTTATTTGTATCTTTAAATACGAAGCTTCAGTGACATCCAGTGGACACATTATTACATGCAAGTGAGAACTTCATTTTTTTAGTTACCAGTTTTAAAATGTCAGGCTCTATTTATCATTTCTAAATATATTACATTTCAGTAATTTTACTAATATTTATAAGACTTTCTCCCATTTAAAATTAAGAAAATATTATTTGGTTCCCATACACTGTACATTACACAGAAACTTCATCACGTGCATCTTAAAACTGTCTCAATATTCTACTACATTTTCAACCCTTGGTCTATCCTGCTTCCTCTTCCTTTTCAATTAATTCCACTAGGCTCCCTGAAACCCTCATGCTTTCATTACCAACAACAACAAAAAAAAAAAAAACACTTCTTTATTTTAGTCTTGTACCTCTGGCCATCATAGTATGAAGCCTAGTTTCTCTTCCTAGAACACCACCTACTCCACAATACCCAATCAAATCAATGTGACCCTTTCTCCAACACCCAACACACACAACAGAGAGGTCAGTAGTCTCCTAGCACCCTTACCCCAGCTTCCAGGCTGTAACTCACCCACCTTTGCATAAAATCCCTTCTCTTTGGGAGGTATGCTGTCCAGCAGTGCAAGCCTCGAATGTTCCTTTTTGAACCCCTTCCATCTCACTCTCCATATTCAATGAGGGTTTACCACTGAGATCCTTCTACCTTACTAACACAAGTCTTGCCATTATCCTTGCCAATTTCAAAGCGTAATCTATGTAATGTGCACACCTCCACCGTTCCCCACCCTAAACAACCATGACTGCATTCATCCCACTTCAGTAATTCATTCTGGAGGCCATAACCTGAACGGACCTTGTCATTAGTCACCCTAGCTCCATCTCTGAAACCATGAACACTGATTTCTGGCTATAACCTCTTACTCTTCACCTATTCTCTGACCTTACAAAGCATTCAGTCCTTCCACTTTCCTGAATCTATCAGTTTCTCCTGCCCACATGCTTCTCTTCACCACTGACAACCAATCACCAATCACTCACTGCCCTCTCTCTAGCACCCTAAACTCCCCTCCCTTTACCACTGCCCTACAGCTCCATTACACCTCCCAACTTAAATTCAATGCAACTTCAACACACTTCAATTCAACTTCTTCATATGGAGAAAATGCAGAACTGAAGAAATGGCTCGTTTAAATCCATTCTCAAGCTCTCAGAACTATTCAACAATGCTTTTACTTATCCGTGGTCAACTACTACAAACCCTCATTTCCTTTCAAGTCCCTGCCCAAACTCACTCTTAACACATGAAGTGAACTTGTACGTTGGTAAGAATAAACGTGACCAGACCCCTTCGGCTACCTAACTCTCCCCTTCCTCCATATACTTTCATTTATCTATTACCATACATTTCCCCTTTCAAAATGGCATGGTTCCACCTATTTAAAGCTTATCCTCCAGCTGTGTTCTCTCATTCCTTTCTTCTAGCATCTTGTAAATGCTAAGTATTCACCTCCTGTATTTCAACTTCCCTAGTAGTTCTTTACCATCAGCCTAAATAGGTTTACACTGTCCAATTTTAAAGGAAGAAAGAGGAAAGAGGAGGGAGGAAGAAAAGAGAAAAATTCCCTCAATTCGGTTTTCTGTCTGCATCTAAGCTAAGAACTGGAATGCATTTAGTCTTTCTTTCTCTCCTTTATTTTATTTCTCAATTGACTACAATGAGGCTTCTACTGGTATACTTGTTCTAGAAAAAGTAAAACTAACTTAAGAAGGAATTAGACAAATTTATTCATAGTAGGTTAAGGATAATTATATTTTGACACATATTTCTAAACTTAAGAGTTTGATATAAAAGAAGGCAAAAATGTTGCTGTTCATGTTAAACAATCTCTCTGAACTGGTTAATCAGTAACCTTAATCATGAATAAATAAATTACTCTTGACATTCTTACTACAAGAGAATTATCTGGTTAGGGGAATTAAAAATTTTGAACTAAAATGGTTCAGTAGTTTCAAATAACCTGCATCACTAAGTTACACTTTTAGCATTTGTAACTAGGAGGTACAAAGGTCAATAGCTTTTAGAAAGCATATCCTATTAGATAATATATTTACACTTACCTATTACTTCTTTTAACTGATTTGTTCTGCCATGGTGGATCTATCACAATTACATCATATGTTTTCCTGCCTGAAAACACACATACAATTTCAGAAAATACCTTCTGTATGTGATTGCTTTAAAAAATAAACATGTTCTTCAAAACTGAATCTCAGAGGGATTTTAACTTAATTTCACCTATTGTTATTTTTGCAAAGACTACCTAAAAATAACTATACCTCACTTGGCTGGACACCAATGATTTGTAAATGCGCTAAGTCTTAGCAGCCATATTAATGTGGTCCTTTCAATCCTATGTGGGTTTTCTTGTTTTACTTTTTCTTTTAACTTTTTATTTTGAAATAATTTCAGTCATATAACTGACACATTGACCAGATATAATATTTCCCTAAATCCACTAGAGTCCTTTTTTCAAGTCCAGGGTCCAAACTGGGATCACATTTTGTATTTAGTTGCCATGTCTCCAAATATCTCCTCTAATCTGGGAAAGTTCCTCAGTCTTTATCCTTTACAACCTTGACACTGTTCAGACTACTGGTCAGTTATTTTATAGAATGTCTCTCAATCTGGCATTGATATTTCATCATGACTAAATTTAGGTCCTTTATTTTTTGCAAGTACTAGAGTAATGCTGGGTCCGTATCAGCACTGTGCCTCTCTGATCAGCATTAGAGCAACATTGCAGGAAGTACAAGATGTCATATGCCTCATTGGTGAGACTACTTTAGTCACTTGGTTAAAGTGTTGTCTGCCAGGTTTCTCCAGTTTTCCCTTTAAAATATCCTGTGTCTGATATTTCCACCTACTATTTTGACTATGCAATTACTACAGTGTTTGCCAAATGGAGATTTTCTAGTTCTACCATTCTACCCATATTTATTAACTGATATTAAGTGTAAGGAAGAGCTGTCCCTTTGTCCGTTCTCCTGCTTTTATAAACATAGGTGTATTTTCATAAATGTACAATCTCATAAGTAATCAAAAGAATGTTAATTAAAATAATACAAATAAAATTTAAATTAAAAATTATAGAAGTTTTTAAACTATGAGAGTGACAAAGATCAAAAAGAATGGGGAAAAAAGTGTTCAAACATAGCATGATTTCCTCATTAGTTGTTATCCTGTCATTTACTCTGCAGAATTTATGACACTATGACATGAATAACCACTCGTGTAAGTTGGCTTGATGGCAATGAAAAGAAGCTTTTCATTAACAAGCTGTTACTTAATAACTTAAAACTTTGCTATAAAATGTTCAAATAAAAGCAGATTAAATTCAACTTGACCAGTATACCTCTTACTTACCTCATACCTTATAGTATTATAATAGTTGTAGTTAATTAAAAATATATAAATTACTGAGATAAATGACTGATGCAGACTATCTTGTTTAATCCTCAAAATGACCCTCAGAAGTATGTATTATAGTGAGACAGGGACCATGGGCTTAGACAGGGTAGGGTGAGGGCCTCTGGAAAAAGCAAGGCAAGATATTTACAGTCAAAACAATGTAACAATGTAAAGTCCTATTGAAACTCTGTGTTCAGCATTATGCAAAGTCAAGGTCACACTAATTCTCTAGGGTGAAGATACCAGACTAGGAATACAGACATCTTCAGTGAGATCAGTTAAAGGTCAAAAGGCCAGGAGCAACTTGGCCTGGAATGTTTGAGTGTTCCACAAGGGTATCTCAGCATAACCCGTGACCTCACTATAAACAGCCCTAGCAAATGGACAATAACCCAGCCCACCTTGAGGGCGGGGCAGGTGGTACAAGTCCATACCCTAAGCCCTCAATGCCCAAAAATCCTCACTGCCTATAAATCCCCTAGACAATGCACCACCCCAGGCTCTCTTGTACCCTCCTGGCTCGAGCCAGGAGCTCTGTCCTCTCACTTTATTTCTAAATAAAAGCCTCTCCCTGGCTCTCCTACCTTTGGTGTTTGCTAAGTTGATTCTTCGGCTCCACAAACAAGAACCCCGGCATCAATACTATCTATTTTATAGGTTAGGAAACAGACTCAGTTTTATGAAGTGGAGTAACCCAAAGACTTGCAGTTAAGCTTCAGAATCTAAATTCAAACTCAGGTATGTGTGACTGACTACCTGTATTGAATATAGACTTCAATATTTAGATTTTTTAATGTTATACAGGAAAATATTTCAAGAAATTTCTGACAATAAACTTGACCATTAGCTTAAAATGTAATCATCTAAAAGGCTAGCAATGGTTTAAGGATTAATATCCATATCCAAAGTGTTTCTACTTTGCTATAAATAGAACTTAAAGTTATTTGGTCAAACCCTACTGTATCCTGAATTCCTCAGTACAGGGCAGTAACTGTATTTGCTTTCTGGGGGGCTAATTAGCTTTTAATCCACTGCTCACAATAAGAACTGCAACTTTTTTTTTTAAGAAGTCAGCACTTTAATACCGAATTTAAAAGAAAAATTACACTGAGAAATTAAATGTTTATTCTATCCTCATAAAGTGTTGACCTCATTCAGCATTCAAACTAACTCTTAATTTTGGGGGCTGTAGAAATATTCTCTTTTTCTAATAATAAACATAATAATTACTTACAGTTCACAAGTGGGTGCATACAAGAAATGTCAGACAAAAGAAAACTGCTTTTTGGTGGTAGCAGGTATTTCTGTCCCATTAAAGTAATCATTTTTGTGAAGCTAGAGTTGTTTTCAACAACCCGTGAAAATAAATCCTGTTCCGTAACAGACTCATCTTCCATCAATTGCAACGTCTGAAGTTCCATTTCATTCAGAGAAGACAAATGCTTTGCCATTTCACATAATTCTGACAGTTTACAAGTATCAAGTGGTAAAGTAATGGGCTCAATACACTTGTCCTGTTTTTCAGAAAGGGGACGAAGAAAGCCACTTTTGAGACCTTCTTGGATTAACTGTGAAGAACCATCCAAAATCAGCCCCCTGATCTGTAAGAAAATTTAAGTACATTAAAAGGGCATTGACATCAACAAAATTTTCTAAATAATGGAATTCCTACCTTGCTTTGAATATCTGAATATATGGAATGAAATCAACATGCTCAATGTTTACACCAAAATAATTTTATATTACAATGAAAAGATAAGAATGTGTGAGTAGACCTATGAATTGCTGTTTGGTAATTGTGGAATGAAACAAACTTCACAAATTCACTTATAATTTCTGAATAAACACACCTTTAATTTTATAAAATACTGCTTAAATTATTTTTTAAAAAGGGGGATAACTGTTGCATGAACATATAAATGAAGTTTTACAAAAATACAACTACAATAATTATAAATTAAAAGCTGTGTTCTGCTTCTGCACAGGATAGAGTACCAGGAATCAGATTTAACATTTCACATGAAATTACTTTTAAAATTGTATAAAATGTGTTCTTTTTAAAAGGCTTTCAGACCTTAGGTAGATGTCAAGCAGTACAGAACAGTGGTCCCTCAAAACAGAGAAACAAATGAGTGCTCCAGCTCACCGCACCGAGAATGCTTCCAGGCAGCAGCACAGGGAGGAGACCTACTCAGGGCCCCACAGACTCTCTGAGTTAAGGGCATGGAGCTGGAAGTCTGAAAGGCCAAGGCAGTAGAGTCTGCAGGGCAGAATACCAATGGGGAGAGAGCTTCAGGCAGTCCACTCAAGCCTCCAGCTAAACACTGAGCAGCACACACACGTGCTGAAAACACCCAAGTTTCAGAGAAAGAACCAGATGAAATGATCAGAGAGAACAATCTACAGAGCTCGCAGAGGGCTGGGCACATTTAGTGCTCCCACAAGCCAAAATGGAAAATCATGTAATTTATGGGCATCAGGTCAACTACTCCAAAGGTACTGCCTCAGTATTGGGGAAAAATAATAGCTCTAAAGTCTGCTCTGGTCCTAACTTAAAAAGCTCAATCAAAGTCTTAAAACCTTAAAGGAAATATCAAAAGAATTAATCAGTTTCAAAATAACTTTCTCTAAGAACAAAGCTCAAGAATATTTATAGGAATATGAAAATATCCAGTACCCAACAGACCAAAATCAAAATGACTTATGAAAAATTAAAAATTACCAGGAATATAAAGCCACAAGAAAATGCAACACATTATGAAAGGAAAAATCACTCAATAGAAACACATAGGAATGACAAAGATGATACAATTAGAAAAGGCTGGGTAGGTTTGCCTACAGCCCATTTAAAAAGATGAGGAAAAGTAGAAAAGGATATTAAGGCACTTGTTACAACCACATTCAAATTCAAACGTGTATAGAAAAAAAAATGAGCATGTTAACAAGAGACATGGAAACTGTTTTTAAAAAGATGAAGCTGAGCTTCTAGATATGAAAACTACAATGCAGAAATGAAAAATACACTAGACTGGATTGACAGCAGACACTGAAGATGAAGAGATTAGTGCACTTTAAAATAATACAATAATCTGTCCAAAATGAAGAGGGAAAAAATATCTGAAGATGTAGTGGCCAGACATTTCCAAATTACCTTAAGACTGTGAATTCACAGATCCAAGCTCAATAAATGGAGAAGAAAATTCAATAAGGAACATCATAACCAAATTGCTGAAAATCAAGACAAAAAAGAAAATGTTCAAAGCAGCCAGACTTCCACTTCCAACCAAGATGGATTAACAGGAACAACAGTTCTCAAGACACTGGGTATCTTGACAGACAATAATAAAGAATAGCGAAAGAAATCAGAGGTAAACCCGAGACTGCCCTAGCTAACTGCCCTGAGAGTTTCCAGGCCACAAGAAGAATCTGGGCAGAGCCTGGAAGAAATCCAGAGTTGAGGAGACATGGGGAGCCCAAGAGAGTTCACAGGACAGGATACCAGAGAGAGAAAGACTACAAAGAGAAAGAACTCTGTAGATCTGCAGGTATCACACTGGAGAAATTCCCCTAAGTACTCTCTGCTCAAGTGTGTAAGGGACCTACCCAGGACAGGAAAAGGGCTACCCAAAAGGACTAGAAGAAACAGTGCTTGGAGCACAGGGCCAAGAATAGTACTTGTTTCTAACATTCAAACTCTTGATTCATAGGGAAACGGGGAGACAAATCACCATGGGTCTGTGTATGAGAAGAGGCACTGACAGCTGGAAATGGGAACTGCATCTCCCTCCAAGGCAGAGAGCAGATCTGTTTGCTGTTCAGGTTAACAAAGGCTCCCTTTGGGGCAAAAGATTGGATAGGTTAAAAGACTGGAGTTCCCAACCTATCACAATGTGAAGTAAATGATGACGACAAATAACACTGCTGATGACAAATGCAAAACACTACAGCCACTTTTGAAAACAATTTGGCATCTTTTTTATAGTGTTAAAACATTTCCCATCAATCCAACAATACCACTCCAACATGATAATTTAAAACTTTTACTAATGATTCTTAAAGCAGATCTCTAGAAAATCAGAATATTTTAATGAAATTTCATATCATGACAAAACACAACTGATGAGAACCTATGGCATGCTGTGGTGCCCAGAGAAAATTTCATAGCATTGAATATTTTCAATAAAAAAGAATTCATTAAGACAACTCAGAAAGTCAGAAAACATATAAAGCAGAAATAAATTAGGAAATAAAAATGTATGATAAATTTCAAAAACAACTAGCAAATTAAGTAAACCATTTGCTAATCTATTGAGAAAGAGTAAATACACGATATAAGTAATGAAGGTAAAATAACCACAGAAACAGACTAAGCATAAATTTGAAAAACTGGATGAAATGGATAATATTCTAAGATAATAACAATTTACCAAGATTGGCTACTACAGAATTTTTTTTTTTATCTAAAACTGATTTCCAAAGAGGAAAAAGGTAAAGTTGTCAAGAAGTATCCCCAGAAAAGGCAACACAACAGGATGGTTCAAAGGGGAGGACTAACCAATTTTTAAGTAACAGATTACTCCAGAGAACTGGGGAGGAAAAATGGGGAAAACTTCCAACATCTATTGTTTATATTTGTAAATATCTGCATATAATTATACATATCAAACAAAATATACATATATTAGATCAATCTCATTTATTACTGTCTCAAGTAAAATATTAGCAAATAAAATCTAGCAGAACATTTGGAAAAAAATACATCACAGTTACCTGGGATAAATACAACAAATGCAAGGAGGTTAGATAAAAGGAATAATTAAAGAAAAATATTAGGAGAAAAATCATCTATTCAATCTCCATAGATGCTTAAAATACATTAGATAAAATTCAATAAGCATTTCAAAAAAAAACCTAGTGCAACTTAACAAGAAATTTGCAAGACTTCTATAATGAAAATTTTACAGAATGACAACAGAAACCTAAATGGATGGAAAGACATAGTCATGTTTTGGGGGAGGAGAACCACTATTTAAATATATCAATACTCTCCTAACTTAATTTACAACTTGATGCCATAAAAATCCCAATAGATCTTTTTCCTAATCAAACATTAAAATTGATCCTAAAGTTTACACTCCCTGACTTCAAGCTCTACTACTACAAAGCCACAATAATCAAAACAATTTGGTGGTGGCACAAGAACAGACCCATAAATCAATGTAACAGAATAGAGAACCCAAATATAAACCCAAATATATATGGTCAATTAATATATGACAAAGGAGCCAAAATACACATGCGGAAAAGAGAACAACTGATGTTAGGAAAACTGAACAGCTACATGTAAAGAGAATGAAACTTGATTATTGTCTAACTCCATAAACAAAAGTAAATTCAAAATGGATCAAAGACCTAAATGTAAGTCATGAAACCATAAAACTTTTAGAAGAAAACATAGGCAAAAAGCTCTTGTGCATACATATGAACAACTTTTTCCTGGAGACTTGTCCTCAGGCAAGGGAAGCAAAATCAAAAATGCACAAGTGGAACTACATCAAACTAAAAAGCTTCGGTACAGCAAAGGACACCATCAGCAGAACAAAAATGCATTCTACAGTATGGGAGAATATATTTTTCTGTGATTAATCTAAGGGATTAACATCCAAAATATATAAAGAGCTCATATGCCTCAACACTGTAAAAACAAATAACCCAGTTAAAAAGTGGGCAGAGGATCTGAACAGACACTTATCCAAAGAAGAAATATGGATGGGCAACAGGCACATGTAAAGATTCTCCACATCACTAATCATCAGGGAAATGAAAATCAAAACTACAATGATATATCACTTCACACCAGTCAGGATGGCCACTTTCCAAAAGGCAATGCTGGCATGGATGCAGAGAAAAGGGAACCCTCATACACAGTTGGTGGGAATGTAAATTGGTTCAACTGCTGTGGAAAGCAATATGGAGGTTCCTCAAAAATCTAAAAATAGAAGTACCTTTTGACCCAGGAATTCTACTCCTAGGAATTTACCCAAAGAAAACAAGATACCTGATTTGAAAAGACATATGCACTCCTGTATTTATTGTTGCACTATTCACAATAGCCAAGATATGGAAGCAAACTAAATGTTCATCAATAGATGAATGGATAAAGATGCGGTACATACACACAATGGAATATTATTCAACCATAAAAAGAAAAGAAATCCTGCCATTTGCAACAACATGGATGGACCTACAGGATATTATGCTCAGTGAGATACATCAGGCGGAGACAGACAAATAGCAAATTATTTCACTCATTTGTGAAGTATAAAACCAAAGCAAAACAGAAGGAACAAAAAAAGATGTAGACTCAGAGATACCAAGAAGGGACTAGTGGTTACCAAAGGGGAAGTGTTGGGAAGGGTGAGGGGCGGGAAGAATACAATTAATGATTATAACATCTTACTATGTTGATAGACAATGACCACAATAGAGGGGGTGAAGGCTTGATAATATGGATGAATGTTGAAGCACTGTTTTGTGTATATGAAACCATCATAAGATTGTATATCAATGACCCTTTATTAAAAAAAAAATGATACTGAAG